AATCCCAGCTGACTTCCTTGAAGAAATTGACAAACTTTAAAATTGACTTAAAAAGTTAAGTCAGTTAAAAAGTGCAGCCAAAGCAATCTTGAAAAAGAACAAACTTGGAGGACTAACAATTCCTGACTTTAAAACTTAATACTAAGCTGCAGCAATCAAGACAATGTGGTATTGACACACAGATGAATATGTAGGGAAATGGAATAGAATCTAAAAATCAAGAAATATACTGTCACATTCACTGTTAATCGACTTTCAACAAGAGTGCAAAACAATAAGGCAACAATAGTCTCTTCAACAAATTATACTGGGACAACTAGATCTCTGGATAACATTGGGAGAAATGCCAGATGTAGGTGACGGGGGGATGGAGGCAGCAAACCACATTGCCATGCATGTACCTATGCAACAATCCTGAATGATCTGCATATGTACCCCAGAACCTAAAGTACAGTTAAAAAAAAAAGAATTCATTTGGACCCCTACCATAAAATGAACTCACTGTAAATTTAGACCAAATATAAACTCAAAATAGACCAAAGACTTTTAAGTGTAAGAGCTAAAATGATAATACTCACAGAAAAAAAAACAATGTGGTACTTTGTGACTTTGGATTTGTCAATGGTTTCTCTGATATGACACCCAAAGCACACAGAACCAAAGAAAAAAAATAGGTAATTAGGAGTTCATAAAAATGTAAAACTTTTGTGCTACAAGGAGATCATGAAGAACCTGAAAAGACAATTCACAGAATGGGAGACAATTTTTGCAAATCATCTAAATATAAAGAACTCTTAGGGCCAGGTGTGGTGGCTCATGCCTGTAATCCCAGCACTTTGGGAGGCTGAGGCGGGTGGATCACCTGAGGTCAGGAGTTCCAGACCAGCCTGGCCAACATGGTGAAATCCTGTCTCTACTAAAAATACAAAAATTAGCCAGGAACTGGTGGCACGCACCAGTAATCCTAGCTACTTGGGAAGCTGGGGCAGGAGTATCGCTTGAAGCTGGGAGGCAGAGGTTGCAGTGAGTTATCGCACCATTGCACTCCAGCCTGGGTGACGAGTAAAACTGTTTCCAAATAATAATAATAATAATTTTAAAAAGGCTTTTCTTAGAGCTCAATAATAAAAAGACAACTCAATTATAATATGGGAAAGGATCTGAAAAGAAAGTATTCAAACAGACAATAAGCATATGAAAATATGCTCAACATCATTAGACATGAGAGAAATACAAAGCCACAATGAAGGACCACTTCAGACCCACTTGGATGGCTAAAATGGGGGGGGAAAAAAACAAATAATAACAAGTGTTAGTGAAGATGAGGAGAAACTGCAATCCTCATATACCAGGAATGAAAGTATTAAAATGCTGCAGCTAGTTTAGAAAACAGTCTGGCAGTTTCTCAAAATTAAACACAGACATAATATATGACCCAATAATTTCACTCCTAGGTATGCACTCAAGAGAATTAAAAGCATATAGCCACACAAAAACTTATACACAAATGTTCATAGCAGCATTATTCATCTTAGCCCAAAAATGGAAATAACTAAAATATTCATCAATAGAGAAATGAATAAATAAAATGTGTGTACTCATATAATAGTGTTTGATAATAAAAAGGAATGAATGAAACTTGAAAACATAATGTTAACTGAAAAAAGTCAGTTTCCAAAGAATAGATGGTATGATTTTCTTGATATGAAATATTCAGAATAGCCAAATCCATAGAGACACAACATAAATTAGTAGCGCCAGGGGCTGGAGGGAAGAGCAAATGGGATTTCTTTTTTGGGTAGTTAAAGATGTTCTAGATATAGATAATGGTGATAGTGGCATAACTGAATATATTAAAACCACTGAATTTTATCATTTAAAAGGGTAAATTGTATGGTATGTAAATTATAGTTCAATAAAGCAGTTCAAAATAGAAAAGAAACCAATGTTATCTATAACCTTCCTGCCTTCCTGCTAAATCAGACAGACTTTAGTTTGAATGTATAGTAATTTTTTCCTGCCTCTCTATCCCCCAACCTCCTGTTTTATAAAATCAGAATTTCAGCTTCAAATTATTATTACTATTTTAAAATGTTTTATCCTCCTAAATGGCACTCCTTTCTCTACCTATGAATGGAAGTTTTTTTTCCATCTCCAAAATTCATCTCTTTTCTCAGGTCTCTGTTTGAAGGGCCCTGTATACAGAAAGTTCTCACTTAATGTAATAGACAGGTTCTTAGAAACTGTAACTTCAAGAGAAATACATGTAATGAAACCAATTTTACCACTGGCTAATTGATATAAACAAGAGTTAATTTCCTACAGCATATTTCTGGTCAAGAAAACATCACCAAACTTCTCAATAAAGACCCAAGACACTGCTATTAAACACTGCAATAAATGTGAGCGATACACATACATTTAAGGAAGATTAATAAAATTATTTACCCAACCCTTGGTGAATCAGTGAGTGAGGGCGATCATAGTGATGGCAGGATACATCTAGAAATGAATGCTTGCCATATTGCTAAGAAACACCTCCTACCGTTACACAGTTCAAAACTTAACAGTCACAAATACGGCAGCTCTCTGAGGACTTTCCTACAGCACTGTTTATTTTTACTGTCATGGCAGAGTCTTGTCTACTTTACACATTTTTATTTTACAATAGTTTGTATTCATCCCTCCATTTGTTCATTTTCTAACCTGCTTATTCCAGTTCAGGGTTGTGGTTGGCTCGAGTCCATTCTGGCAGCTCAGGGCTCAAGGCAGGAGCCCGCTCTGGACAGGACGCCTTTCCCATCGTAGAGCAGCACACTGACATTCACACCCACACTCACTCCCACTGGGACCATGCAGACACACCAATGAACTTCAAGTGCACAGCTTTGGGATGTGGGAGGAAACAAGAATACCTGGAGAAAACCCACAAAGACACGGAGAGAGCAAGCAAACTCCACACAGCAGTGGCGCCAGCAGGGAATCCATTTTTTTCTAATCAATGTTATAACGAACATTATTTGAGGACCTGCTGTTTGTCATTTCCTGTGTTTGGAGTCCTCCCCCAGTTGGCTAGGTTTTACTTCTTTTCACCTTTTTAGAAGTCCTCCCTGACTCCCTCTCTCCAGGCCAGAGTTGGAGTACCCTCGTTGTGTTCCTCTGCACCCTGGGCTCTCTCCTACTTTTCACCTTTGTAGAAGTCCTCCCTGACTCCCTCTCTCCAGGCCAGAGTTGGAGTACCCTCGTTGTGTTCCTCTGCACCCTGGGCTCTCTCCTACTTTTCACCTTTGTAGAAGTCCTCCCTGACTCCCTCTCTCCAGGCCAGAGTTGGAGTACCCTCGTTGTGTTCCTCTGCACCCTGGGCTCTCTCCTACTTTTCACCTTTGTAGAAGTCCTCCCTGACTCCCTCTCTCCAGGCCAGAGTTGGAGTACCCTCGTTGTGTTCCTCTGCACCCTGGGCTCTCTCCTACTTTTCACCTTTGTAGAAGTCCTCCCTGACTCCCTCTCTCCAGGCCAGAGTTGGAGTACCCTCGTTGTGTTCCTCTGCACCCTGGGCTCTCTCCTACTTTTCACCTTTGTAGAAGTCCTCCCTGACTCCCTCTCTCCAGGCCAGAGTTGGAGTACCCTCGTTGTGTTCCTCTGCACCCTGGGCTCTCTCCTACTTTTCACCTTTGTAGAAGTCCTCCCTGACTCCCTCTCTCCAGGCCAGAGTTGGAGTACCCTCGTTGTGTTCCTCTGCACCCTGGGCTCTCTCCTACTTTTCACCTTTGTAGAAGTCCTCCCTGACTCCCTCTCTCCAGGCCAGAGTTGGAGTACCCTCGTTGTGTTCCTCTGCACCCTGGGCTCTCTCCTACTTTTCACCTTTGTAGAAGTCCTCCCTGACTCCCTCTCTCCAGGCCAGAGTTGGAGTACCCTCGTTGTGTTCCTCTGCACCCTGGGCTCTCTCCTACTTTTCACCTTTGTAGAAGTCCTCCCTGACTCCCTCTCTCCAGGCCAGAGTTGGAGTACCCTCGTTGTGTTCCTCTGCACCCTGGGCTCTCTCCTACTTTTCACCTTTGTAGAAGTCCTCCCTGACTCCCTCTCTCCAGGCCAGAGTTGGAGTACCCTCGTTGTGTTCCTCTGCACCCTGGGCTCTCTCCTACTTTTCACCTTTGTAGAAGTCCTCCCTGACTCCCTCTCTCCAGGCCAGAGTTGGAGTACCCTCGTTGTGTTCCTCTGCACCCTGGGCTCTCTCCTACTTTTCACCTTTGTAGAAGTCCTCCCTGACTCCCTCTCTCCAGGCCAGAGTTGGAGTACCCTCGTTGTGTTCCTCTGCACCCTGGGCTCTCTCCTACTTTTCACCTTTGTAGAAGTCCTCCCTGACTCCCTCTCTCCAGGCCAGAGTTGGAGTACCCTCGTTGTGTTCCTCTGCACCCTGGGCTCTCTCCTACTTTTCACCTTTGTAGAAGTCCTCCCTGACTCCCTCTCTCCAGGCCAGAGTTGGAGTACCCTCGTTGTGTTCCTCTGCACCCTGGGCTCTCTCCTACTGAAGGCAGGTACTTTATCCTTTAGTTATAAGCACCTTGCCCTGTGCCTAGGTGCTTAATAGATTAAGAAAGTCTGTCTATACCTCCTGATAACCTACTAACTTTTATAGGAATGTATTTTGCCTCTCATATAGAATTTGTGTGCAGGAGGCTGTGTATGGGCACTGGACACCACTGTGGTTCACTTTTATAAACCAGTAGGACACATTTTGAGATATTTTCAGGATTTGCCATCATCCTGAATGAAGCTCTTGGATTTAGGATTAGGTATTGACACAAATTGTAAAACTCTAATCCAAGAGTGTAGCATTTTCTGAGTTAGTAATTAGTTCTGATTATCAAAATCTTTTGTGTTTTATAAAAGAAGGCACTTGAAAATAACATATGAGACAAATTCTATAAAGTTCCACTATGATTTTAAAATCTAGTTTAAGTTTTTGTATTTTTTATATTAAAATTTAAAAAATTAAATACCCTTTTTTCACTTTCTCATTTGATAAATAAACTTTTCTCTTCAGAATTGTATATATGGTAGGCTTCTGCCCCAGTGTGGCCATCTGTGTGCTGAGTATTTCGGAATTCTGTAAAAACAAAATATAATTTCGTTTTTTACTTTTCTCATAGCTATTCTGATATTACAGCATGTATATTGAATTTGTTATTTTAGTTAAGACATTGTTTACATTTGTAAATTTACCATATGCTCAAGATTCAGCTTTGTTCTTTCTACCTTATAGCTTCCTTCCCATGCGAATTTTGTGAATTATAAATAAGTCATAATACAGTTTCCAACTCATCAAAAACTCTACCCATAATCAGAATCCTGAATGAACTGAAACTATGAGGATGCTTAAATAAATAACGCTAGTTTTAATCTCAATGAAATACATAGTAGAGTTTCTAAAACTAATCTGTTAGAATTCTTTCTACATGAGTCTACCTTCAAAATGACATACTCTTTCAAGGCAGGTTTCAAATGATATCTGGGGGACTTTAAGAAAACTGCTCTTAGAAATCAGATGGATCTGAAAAGCTCCCCTTTGAAATTTCTAGAATTAAAAAATCAGATGATGAGGGCTAGTCTAGAATTCCATAGCTTCTTTCTGTCCTAATCCTCTAATACTGGCTTTGTTTAATTTTCTAAAAACATGGCATCCATCCACAAAGGAACCTTAAAGGTTGTTACCATGAGTGTCAGAAGGGGAGTTATGGGGACTATGGAATTACCTGATAGTAGAACCTATTTTGAGAAGTAGAAATAATGGTCAGGGAAGGCCTTTCTGAAGAATACTCATTTGATAATTTTTTTTTTTTTTTTTGAGACAGAGTTTTGTGCTGTTGCCCAGACTGGAGTGCACAATCTGGCTCACTGCAACCTCTGCCTCCCAGAATCAAGCAATTCTCCTGCCTCAGCCTCCCAAGTAGCTGGGATTACAGGCACACACCACCATGCCCTCCTAATATATATATTTTTAGCTTAGTAGAGTCAGAGTTTCACCATGTTGGTCAGGGTGGTCTCAAACTCCTGACCTCAGTTGATCCACCTGCCTCCGCTTCCCAAAGTGCTGGGATTACAGGTGTGAGCCACCGCACCTAGCCCATTTGATAATTTTCATAGGGAAATATAGGTTTGCATAATAAATAATAGATATTTTAGTTTTGTTTCTGAAAATCATATTCACTATTCAGAATTTTAAATACAACTACCTTTTGCATAACTGCTGAGGAAAGAGCAAATAAAGCATTCTTAATGTAGAAAAGAGAAAGATGGAAGTAAGATATAATAAGTTACATATATAAGAAGATGGTAGGAAAAAGATCAAGAAAAGTTAAGATAATCATGTAAACAAGCTTAAAAATATATATTTTTGATGAAGAAAGTAATTCATGGTCATTAAAGATAATTTTATAAACATGGAAAAAATTAACACATAGAAATTATCAAAAAGGCAAAAACCACATCAGCGTTTTCTTCAGCTTTACCAACGTCAGGCTACTGTTTTATATTCATGTTACCTGTAAACATCATTTTCAATGTCTGCATAATTTTGACTGCGTGAATTATCATCATTTGCTTAATACTCCTGTATTGGACATTTTGGTGGTTTTATTTTTTCACTATTGGTAAATATTACCAGGAACATTATCAGATATACAGTCTTTTCTATGGTTAGGGCTGTTTCTTTTGATAAGATTCTTGGAAGTGTGATTGCTGGGTCAAAAGTTATACACACTTTAAAAACTCTTTCAGGCCGGGCACAGTGGCTCAACACCTGTAATCCCAGCACTTCGGGAGGCCAAGGCAGGTGGATCACCTGAGGTCATGAGTTTGAGACCAGCCTGGCCAACGTGGTGAAACTCCATTTCTACTAAAAATATAAAAAATAGCTGGGCCTGATGGCACACACCCATAGTCCCAGCTACTCGGGAGGCTGAGGCAGGAGAATCACTTGAACTCAGGAGGCAGAGGTTGCAGTAAGCCAGATCATGCCACTGCACCCCAGCCTGAGCAACAGAGAGACTCTGTCTCCAAAACAAACAAACAAAAAAACACCTCTTTTAGCCTGGCATGGTGCTGCACACCTGTAGATCAGCTACTCAGGAGGCTGAGGCAAGAGGATCAGGTAAGCCCAGGAGTTTAAGGCTGCAGTGAGCTATAATCACGCTACTGCACTCTAGCCTGGGTAACAGAGTGACACCCCCATCTCTAAAAACAACAAACAAAACTCTCTTGATACATATTACCAAAATAACTGATAAAAGGATTATATCAACTTACGTTATTTCCAGTGATCTATGACAGAACAATCACATTACTGCTAATCTTTGTGTTATTATTATTTGAGACAAGGTCTTACTCTGCCACCCAGGCTGGAGCACAGTGGCTCGATCACAGCTCCCTGCAACCTCTGCCTTTCAGGCTTAAGGAATCTTCCTACCACAGCCTCCCGAGTAGCTGGGACAACAAGTGTGTGCCACCATGCCTGGCTAATTTTGGTATTTTTTTGTACAGATGGGGTTTTGCTATGTTTCTCAGGTGGTCTTGAACTCCTGGCCTCAAGCAATCCTCCTGCCTGAGCCTCCCAAAGTGCTCGGATTATAGGTGTGAACTACCATGCGTAGCCTGTATAATTATTTTTGAAAGTATTTTTCTAGTTATAGCATCAATATATGGCTATACCTGCTGTTAAATTTAACAAACATAGTTCTGTTGATCTTACCCGATTTTTTAGCAGCATTTGATACATTGGATTCATCTTCCCATTTGAAACACTTTTACGTGGCTTCCATGTTACCACTCCCTCCTGCTTTATTAATGGTTCCCAGGGTCTGGCCTTAGGCCCTCCTCTTCTCAGAGTATACTGTCTTCCTAGGTGATCTGATTTCACTCATGGCTTCAAGTACTAACCAATTCCTGTACAACTCATCAAATTGTAAGCCATATCCCAATTTTATATCTAGTTCTAGATTGGCAGATCTAATTAGATTCTTAATCGTGACTTACAGTTGTCTCAGAAGCACTTCAAACTAATATGTTCAAAACTACACTGCTGCCTTGAGGCTTTGCCTCTCAAACCTGCATTTATAAATATTTGTTGGACGAATAATGAAAAAAATCTTACCACCTAGAGGAGAGTATGTATCTTTCATGAGACAGCTGTGATAAGAGCATTCTAGACAGAAGGCACAACAGTTACAAAGTCCCCGAGGTAAGAGAGGAGTTATTATGCTTAAGGCATTGACAGGAAAATGATGGCTCAGGTATAGTAGAAGGGGGAGACTAGTAAGTAGTTAAGGCAAGAAAAAAGATAGGCAAGGGCTACATAATGCTAAGCACTGTATGCTTTGGAAAATAGGTTAGATTTTATTCTTAGTACAATGGCCAAATATTGAAGAGATTTTTTAAAAGGATTTTAAATTATTTTATTTCAAAATTATTTGACTCACAAGAAGTTTCCATGTAACCTTTCCTCAGCTTTTCCCAATGGCAATAGTTTACGTAATCCTAATGCATTGTCAAAACCAGGAAATTGATGCTGATACAACATTATTAACTTGGGTCCAGATCTTACTCAGATTTCACCAGGTTTTCCAGGCACTCTTTCATTTACTTATTTAGCATAGTTCTGTAAAACTTTATCACATGTGTAGATTCACATAATTACCACCACAAATAGAACACAAGAGTGAATACATCGCATAGAAGAAACTCCATCGTGTTACCACTTAAGATTCCCAACTGTCCACATAACCTAACCACTAAAAACCACTTACCTGTTTTCTATTACAATTTGTCACCCCTGAAATGTTATAGAAATGGAATCATACAGTATTCCATGCTTTGAAAGTGGCTATTTAACTCAGCATCCATCCAAGCTGTTGAGTGTTATCATAGTGAATTCCTGAAATGTTAAGAGCTAAACGACAAAACTCTTAGAAGAAAACATAAAGAAAAATATTAATGATGTTGGATTTGGCAATGATTTTTTGGATATGACATCAAAGTCCCAGGCATCAAAAGGAAAAATAGCTTTCATTAAAATCGAAAACTTCTGTGCATCAAAGGTCCCTATTAATAGAATAAAAAGACAATCCACAGGATAGAAGAAAATATTTTCAAATCACATCTGATAAAATATTAATATCCAGAATATACAGAAAACTTAAACCGGAGCAATAAAAAATAGCACCAAGCAACCTAATGAAAAAATGGGTCTGAAAGCACAGGGATCAATTTGCTCCACCCAGCACAGCCAGTGGCCATACACACCACTGGAGGACCTGAGGTTATACCCAATCTGCAGCTTGCACCAGTGGAGCCTGCAAGCATTTTTTCTTTGGAGGCCTGGGGATCTACCTGCCCTGCTCACCACTGCCAGTGCCCATGCACACCATCAGAGGGCCTGAGAATGGGTCTGACCTGTCCACTGCCACCACCACCAGCAGTGCCCCAGAATGTTGTCTAAGGACCCATGCAACTGGTACCTACACACACCATTGGAGTCATAAGGAAAGGTCAGACTTGCCTACCTCCAGCTTCACCAGTGTCTGCATGCATCATTTAGAAGCCTAGGGATCACCTCACCCCACCTGCCATTGCCAATGTATATACATGTTGCTCAGCGGCCTAGACATTGATCTGCCCCACCTGCTACTGCTGACACTCACATGTAACCCTTAGGGGTCTGAGGATTGTTCCACCCTGCCTGACACCATTGGCACTTATGCATGCCTTTAAGAGGCCTAAGAATAGACTTGTCCTGCCCATCACTCCCACCCACGTGGATTTACTGAAGACCTTGGTACTGGCCTGGCCAACCTGCCACTGGCACTGGCACCCACACATGTGTGCTGCCTGGGAGCCTGGAGATTGACCAGTTCAGCCCACCACTGCAGTTGCTGGTGCCCATGTCAGGCCTGAGGACCTGACACCCATCTGGCCCACTCCTGCCACTGCCAGCACCCAAGCAAGCCACCTGCAGGCCCAAGAACTGGTGCACTCAGGCCTACTACTACGAGGCTTCCGGGGGCCAGCTGCATGTTTGTTAGCCAGCTGTCCCCACCACGGCTTTCCAGGGAG